TGTGCACTTAAAAACAAGAATAGTTTATTATATTATAATATTCTATCTTAAAAATGTGACTTGTAGTCACGTATTGAGTGAAGTAAAACTTGTTAAATGTTATTAACGTATTGTTTAAAGTTGTCAAGTTATTAATTAGTTAATTCATTAAATATAATACTAAGTTCTTATGTCAAATAGTTTGATACTTATTTTAATATTTTGAGTAGTCAATATAACATTAATGATTACTTAAAACATATAAAGAATAATTTATGATTAACAAAGACTTAATTTAAGTAAGTTAACAACTTGTGAAAGGTACCACATTAAATAGTAGGGATGAGAAAAATAAACTTATTTTATATTTATTTTTTTTCTATAAAATTTATAGAACGTTTTAATAAAAGGTTATTGTAGAATTTTTAATTGAAAAGGTTTTCACATAAATGTTTTTGAATTTACTAAATAAAACATCTTAAAATATTAATTATTATTTAAATTTTGTTAAATATTATAATATTCTACAAAAGCCCTGAGTTATAATAATAATTCTAGCTTTTAAACTTATTAATCGATTCTCTTTTGAGACATAAATTATTTAATAAAAAAATTAAGAATTAAATTTGAAGTAAAATGATCAAGTCAACAGAATATTATATAAGTTTATTAATAAAACATAGTAGATCAGATATACATTTATTAGCTTGTTATATATTGAGAAGCAAGTCTATATATGAGTATATACCACTAATAGTGGATATAATGATTAAACATGATTCAGATGCTATCTATGAACTTTTAAAGCTTAAAGCTAAGAACATGAAATGTAGAATTATACTCTATTTTTATCTAAAGACACAACTTTTAAAGACTAACATCAATCAAATTCTTAAGTGTTACTATCTATTAATTGAAATAAATAACATATCCTACTACTATAACTATAAAAGTAACTCTAATTATTATAAACATAGATTTGTTAACAATAGAATGATAATTAAACATTTAAATTTAAGAAGTAAGAATATAAAAAATATGTTACTATCATTTGTTAAACACATTCTACCAGTTAGTGAAATAACTAATAGAATTGATTTTTTAACATCTCCTTATACAAATAAGAAAACTACCATTAAGAATAATCAATATTTAAATAACAGCCTAATGTTTTATAACAAATTAATAGGAATTTGTGGAAGGTTAAATGACGTACCAAAATACTTACAAAACAGGTTTTTAGTTGTACAATTAGAATTAATTAACATTAATTTAAATAATAAAGACTACTATGATCTGTTAACAGGTGATAAAATAGTTTATATTCATTCCAATACATGTAAGTGTATGTGTAGTAGGGATAATAATCCATACTTACTTAATTTGGTAACTAAAAAAAGTAATATAAAATCAAATATTACTTATAAAAATAATCTTACAAAACAGGAAATTAAAAAGTTAAATTCAATGTTTGATCATTTTGAAGTAATTAAGACATTTAATGATATTGGTGATATTAATGGAATAAGATTAAATATGATCGAGGTGATGGAAGAATTATTAGTAAGAAATATAATTAATAGTTATTTTAGTAATGAAATGATACTCAAAAACAATATTAATGAAAAAGTGATTATTAATGAAGATACTTCATATGAAAGATTAGATAAAGTTAATCTTAATAATAAAGAACTAGAAACTTTACTTAATAACAATTTTGAATTAGATGAAAATTTCTATGAAGAGAGAATGCAATGGCATATAAATAACTATGACAGTGTTTATAACCCTGAAAGTAATTTAAAATTTCCATCACAATTAGATCAGTAAAAAAGTATAATTCCTAAAGAATTTAATATTTCATCTTACATAGTTAAGAATGGTAGTGTTATGAAGGAAGAGTATACTGCGTTTAGAATAATAACACAAGTAATGAATATTTTTAAAGAGAATAGATTGCCTATTTATCTTAAGAATTATAAGATATTCATAATTAGTGAAGACTGTGGATTGGTTGAAAATATTGTTAATACAAAAAGTATAAGTAAAATTAAATCTCAATATGGATCATTAATGAAATACTTTGATGAATCTTATTCTGATTTAAATAAGGCAAAGAATAACTTTCTTTACTCATTAGTTGGATATTCATTAATTCAATATCTTCTATTACTTAAAGATAGACATAATAATAATTTATTAATAGATGAGTTTGGGCATATTATACATGTAGATTTTGGATTTATTTTAGGAAAATATCCGGGTATTTATGGAGTTGAAGTAGCTCCATTTAAATTTAGCAGTGAATATCTTAATATAATTAATATTCACGAGTTTAAGATTTTATTTACTGAGGGATTTAAATGTTTAGTAAAAAATAAAGAATTAATACCTGAGGTAAGTGAAAGACTTGTATTAAATGATTTATCAGTTGAAGATTTTGTTGATCAGTTGATTTCTAAGTCTGTTGGTAATTACTTGACAATATTTTATGATCAATTACAATACTTTCAGAATAATTATTATTATTAACAATAAATTCTATATTTGGTAATTTTTTAAACTATTTTATTTACACTAATTAAATTCTATCATATTTATGTTTAAAGTTGAATCAAATGATTTTATCACTTCTATTTCCATTTGAGTATTCTCCTTTAGAGTTTTTTCTAAATAATCTGCTACAAATGAATTTTTATAAACAGAACCATTTAATTTAACAATAAGTTTTTTAGGATCACTAAATAATTTTGTTACACCTTTAATCAATCCAGCAGTTATACACTGATTTCTTAAAAATATCTTTTTGAAAATTTTTGTTAAATAAAAATTCTTATTATCACTAATTAATGAGTCATCTTTTAACAATTTTATTATTTCACTATCAGATGGTTCTCTTTTAAAAAATTCTTTATAAATGATTTTAAAAAGACTTAAACAATCTTTACCTGATAGTAAAGTGTGTGTATTGAAATATTCTTGATTGTTGGCTAGCATTTCATCTCTAAGTTTATAATCATAACTAGTCATTATATTTTCAGGTAAAGTAAATTTATACCATTCAGCATTAACGATTATACCATTCTCATTATAAAATGCCATATTAGATCCAGTTCCACAAACTAATCCTATTTGTATTGTATTGTCAGAATAGTTCTCTTTATTATCATCTGATAATAATACTGCAACTGTATCATTTAGTATAAGTTGTATATTTATATCAATTTCTTTATTTATCTTATTAAAAAAATCTTTTATACTTTTATTAATTTCTTTATTAAGATAATTGTTTTTAAAAGGCATATTTTTGGCAATCTTATTCATAAAAGCTCTATTGCTACTTACTTTATTATATGGAAATGAGAATGTCAATATAATTGGTATTTCTTCATTAAACAGTTCTATATTCTTAAGGTAGATTTCATTTATTTGATATGCAATATACTCAAATACTTCAATGTTATCAGAGCATTCTATTTTAATTAAATGACTTTCTTCAAACATTTGATTAAATAATTTATACTTAAAGTATGTTCCTCCCATATCAATCAATAGTATGGTATTTTCTTTATTAACTCTTACTTTATCAACATAATCAAAAAACAATTCTTCCTTTTGAAGATTATTTTTATCAATATTAGTTATTATGTGATTATAATAGTTATTTGCTATTTCATCTATCTGGCTCTTACTTATTTCAAATAAATTTAAAATTTGATCAAATTGTATTTTCATTATAAAAACTTTAATTATCTGATTAAAAAAATAATTTAATTAATTACTTTTTTGTTTACATACAAATAAACTCTATTAATTAACAGACAGAATAATGATGTAAATAAAATTACTATTGGAATATTAAAAATGCTTTTATCAAGTAATTTCATAAATTTATAAGGATACCCTTTGTAAATTTTTTTATGAATAATCAAAACAATCGAATAATATAAAAACGTAATCAAAATATATTTATCAGAACTGGTGGTAAATTTTACGTCTTTAAGCGATATAAAAGTATAAATAAACGGAATAAAGTGTTCTAATAACTGCCAGAAAATATTACCATAAATCTTATGTTTTACAACACTATCAGATAATAACAATTTCTTATCTGTAAAATAAATAGGCCAAAATATCAATATTAAAGCTGTATTAAACGAAAGTGTTATATGTAAAATATTTCTATAAAACTGCTTAATATAATCTTTTTTAAATTTTAAAGATAAAAACCAAGTTATAGAAGTTATTATTGTTAAGAACATTAAGTTGTA